ACATTGTGAAATACTTTTGGTCATGCCATTCCTGCCAGATTTTATATCAATAAATTCATATTAACTATGTGCTCTGACACTCGTTTTCCTAAGACTGTGCCTTTACGTACCATAAAAACTAAAGGAATTCTGCGAGCTCTAATGAAATTCTTTTCTACTTTCGGTTTACCAAAGGTGGTGCAGACTGATCAGTGCACTAAGTTTATGTCTCGGTTTTTCAGACTAGCATTATCACAGCTCAATATAAAACATGAAGTCTCTAGTGCATATCATCCAGAATCACAAGAGGCTCTAGAACGGTTCCACCAAAGCTTAAAGTCAATGTTGTGTACCTTTTGTGTTCAGACAGAAAAAGAACGGGATGAGGGCTTACCCCTATTATTGTTTGCTGTGCGTGAGACTCGCTTGGCTTTAGTCCTGCCGAACTATTTGTCGGCCACACTGTGAGAGGTCTGTTGAAATTGAAAGTGGAGAGGTCTGTTGAAGGGGAAGTCGTGGCCTAATGGTTAGAGAGTCGGGCTTGTAACCTGAAGGTTGCCGGTTCGATTCTCGCACTGGCAGGAATTGAAGGGGATTGTGAATGAACAGCACACTCGTCCACCTTCGATACCATGCCCTTGAGCAAGGCGCCGAACCCCCAATTGCTCCCCAGGCAATGGCTGCCCATTCCTCCGTGTGTGTGTGTGTGTGCGCGTGTGTGTGTGCGCGCGCGTGCGTGCGCGTACGTACGTACTTGGATGGGTTAAATGCAGAGAACCAATTTTGAATATGGGTTACCATACTTGACAACATGTCATGACTTTCACTGTTCTGTTGAAAGAGTATGAAATGATGACTGTAAATCAAGTGACCCTGTTAATATCTTGGATTATGTCAATTAATTCCGTGAACGTTTGCATCGAGTATGTGAATTAGGTCGTGCCTCCATGGCATCTGTTTAAAAGAAAATGAAAACACGATTTGACAAAAAAGCTGTTTTACATTCCTTTAAACAGGGCGACATGGTCTTGGTTTTGCTCCCTGTCTCTGGATCAGCCTTACAGGTGAAATTTTCTGGCCCATATGTGATTGATGCCAAACTTAGCGAAACGGATTATATTGTCGATACACCTGACCACAAGAGGAAAACTCGCGTCTGTCACATAAATATGTTGAAGTCCGAGACGGAGAAATGAAATGTTCTGTCACTTCTGCTGCACCTGTATCTGTTGTGACTGCTCCTGAGTGTTCTGAGGTAAATGGTTAACCATACGAATTGTCTCTGTTACTGGTGCTCGCTTGCAAAACTCTGAGATTCTTAAAGATTTAACGTCTCATTTGTCATATCTGGCTGCAGGCCCAAATGTTTGTAAGCTAATCTAGTCATATTTAAATTTGTTCTCTGATGTGCCATCCAAAACTGCTGATGACATTGATGTGGGAGACCATCCACCAATTAAGCAGCACGCTTATAGAGTGAACCCGATTAAGCGTCAGGTAATGCAGGATAAAGTGAAGTACCTGCTTGAAAATGGGTTGGCTGTCCCAAGCTGCAGTGCCTGGAGCACTGCCCATTTTTGCACTGATTATAGAAAAGTCAATGCCATTACAAAACCAGATTCTTTTCCTTTGCCTCGTATGGAGGATTGTGTAGACAGGGTGGGGTCGGCTACTTTTGTGTTGAAGCTGGATTTACTTAAGGGCTATGGGCAGGTGCCCTTGACTTTCTTTTGCAACGCCTGACAACCTCCTACAGTACACCGTGATGGCATTCGGACTGTGAAACGCTCCTGCCACGTTTCAGCGTCTGATGAACAAGGTCTTGGCCGGCATCCCTAATTGTGATGCGTATTTAGATGGTATTATTGTGTATTCTTCTGAATGGAATGAGCAGTGGCGGACTGGGGCAGTAAATCAGGCCGGGAATTTGACTCCACCCCAGGCCACCTCTGTTGCTGCAGTCACCACCACCCTATTCATGTGTCCACCAAACTGCTAAACTTGCAGGCTAACCCTGTTAGTTGATGTAACAGGTAGACTACCAGATGTAATATAATTGAATAAATAAATGAACCTTCAAAAACTCACTAGGAATACACCATCTATACTACCACACCAAATACAAATATAAAATTGGCTTACACATCCAGGGATAATAAAAGATACACATTCACATTTTGAAATATTTATATTTTATGTATTTCCAATGCTCAACTCAAGTATATCAAAAGTATCAGAAACACAAACACAAATAAACTTAACAAAAGCTACGACAATGTAAGTAACAGATAACAATGTTTACTCAATAACGGCATAACAAACCAGTAAGAGTAAACAGTAAGTAATTAGCACTACTAGTACACCAGTAGGCGGCGCAGTAGCTCACTGCTCTCTGCCATTTTGTCGATTATGTCATCTTTATCAAGTTTTATAAGAATCTCCTTCTCTGTTGCCATCAAAAGGAATGCTTCAAGGTTCTCTTGACTGAGGGAGGTTCTCAGACGGTTCTTCACTAACTTCAGGGTGGAGAAGGTCCTCTCACAGGCAACCTGAGTAATAGATAGTGTGAGGAGGAACTTGTAGCCCAAACTAATGATGTGATAAGCATCAGTAAGCAGATTATACTGAGACAAGAGGAGATAGCAGCATATTGAACATTTTTTGCATGTGCAACAACTTCTGCTCACAAACTCCACACTTTCATCAGGAACCTCAGAGCCTTCCCCTGCTTCATCACTAGAGGCAGCACCCCTAATGTTGTAGTTCTCCATTAGTGATTGCTTCAGTTTTTCCCAGTGCTGTGCAAGGCTGAGCAGTTCAGCCTGCAATGTCTCAACACTGGCACGTTCATCAAATTGCAGTAGGCACTTGCTGAGCTCCTTCATGGCTGGAATGCCTTTTTCTCTGATTTCAGGGAGGTTCCTAGGATCCATGCAGGGGACATCTGTACACAGCACTGCATTTTCTGCATAACGGCTATGAAAGCTTTCAATAACAGTGTCCAAGATCACATTGTGGATGTTGATTTTGTAATCAATGTCTGCATTTGCAATCATCTTGTGCCAGCTCACCTGGTTGCCTCTTGTGTTTTCTAATTCTCTTCTCTGGGAGAGCAGTCTGAACTTCAGCATCACTGTCCTGAAGCTTCTCCAGAATGCCATTGGACCATTCAACAAAGTCATCTGCTGCCCTCTTCACACCCTCAAAGTCCTGGGCACACTTTCTCAAGCTATCTTCTGTTCCTGTCACCAAGTGCTGTGCTGAAGCAATATCCATGCCAGTTGTTTGTAAATATTTACAGAGAGGGGTTGTCTGCTCAAAAATCCTGAGGAAAATCTCAGCTGTCAGTATGGTTTCATACTTTAGGAGAGCAGCC